CACGCGTGACCTTGAGGCGGCGGCACCTCGGTGACAGCCGGGACGAGCCGCGGGGAGCCCCTCAGCGGGGTGGCACTGGGGTGGCACCGAGGGTGACACCGGGGGTGACACCGGGGGTGACACGGGGCCCCCGCGGCGGCGACAGCGGCCGCCTTGACCTTGGGCTTCCCGGAGCCGCCTCCATTGTTCCTCCTCCGGCATTTTCCCTTCCCGGAGCCGCCTGTTGCGGGAGGGACGCGGCCCCGTCACCCGCCACGGCCACACTTGGGGGTGTGGGGGTCCCCCCTGGGGGTCGGGGGGGCCCACACCGGGGGGATCGCTGCAGTGGCCCCCCCGCGCCCCCGGCGCGCCCTCCCCTCCCGGCAGGCAGTGGAAAAACCGAGTCATGTTCTGGCTCTGCCGCAGGCGCTGCCGCAGCTCCCCCCGGGAGGAGCGGGGTGTCCCCGTGGGTGTGACCCCCCCCCTCCCCGGCACGGCGACCCCCGGTGCCCCCCAGCCCCCGTTTGCCCCCGGCCCGCCGCGGGCAGGGCGCTGCCAGGCCCGGGGTGTTCCCGGGGTGTTCCCGGCCGGAGTCCCCGCGGTTCCCGCGGTTCCCACGCGTGGGTGAGGAACAAAGTTCGGATTCCCCTGCACAGGAAAACCGCGGCCTGGCCGGGCTGGGCTCTGGCTGTGCCAGGGCTGCCGTGTGCCAGGGCTGCCGTGCTCCCCGGGCTCCAGGAAGGGAATCACGGCCATTCCCTGGGCTGGGTCCGGGTCTGGGTCCGGGTCCGGGTCTGTGTCCGGCTGCTGGTGTGCGTGATGGGAACGTGGGGGGGGCTGCCCTGCCCGGCTCACCTGGCCCTGATCCTTCACCTGGCCCTGATCCCTCAGCCCGGCCTGATCCGTGTGGGCGAGGGAAGCGGCTCCAGGTCCTTGGGAGCCGGGATCTCGAGGGGTCATGGAGCTCCTGTCACAGAGGGGGCTGGGGGCTCCATGTGCAGCTGCACCCCCCACAATGGGGCAGCCGGGGGGCACAGGGGGCTCTGCCTGGGTAACATGGGGGGTCTCTGTTTCTGTTCTCCCACAGAACACACCGTGTGTCCTCTTGGCCGCCCGCCACGCCAGTGCTGCCACGGTAAGGGGGGACCTCGCTCTGTGAGCCCTTCTCCTGTCACCCACCTCTCCTGTCACCCCCTGTCCTGTGCTCAGCCCCCAGCCCACGACCCTCTCCCCTCTCCCCAGAACCTCAAAGATGTCCTGGCCACCATGATCCCCAAGGAGCAGGCGAAGATCAAGAGCTTCCGGCAGCAGCACGGCAGCACGACCATCGGGCAGATCACGGTGGACATGGTGGGTGGGGGGTCATGGTGGGTGGGGGGTCATGGTGGGGGGTGGGGGGTCATGGTGGGTGGGGGATCATGGTGGGGAGTGGGGGGGCGTGGGGTGGGGTGGGGTGGGGGGACGCCAGGCTGTGCCGCAGCCCCTCACCGTGACCTCCCGCCCCGTTGCAGGTTTATGGAGGGATGAGGGGCATGAAGGGACTGATCTACGAGACCTCAGTGCTGGATCCTGATGAGGTAGGACCCCGTCCCACCCCATCCCACCCCTCTCCCCGGCCCTGCTGGGCTGACACTCGCGCTGGGCTCCGCAGGGCATCCGCTTCCGCGGCTACAGCATCCCTGAGTGCCAGAAGAAGCTGCCCAAAGCTGCAGGGGGAGAGGAGCCACTGCCTGAGGGGCTTTTCTGGCTGTTGGTGACGGGAGAGATCCCCACCCAGGAGCAGGTAAGCAGGGGGCTGGCGGGGGTCTGGCAGCCCCCAGCCCCGTGGCTGAGCCCCCGTGACCCCCCCCTGCTCCGCAGGTGAGCTGGCTGTCCAAGGAGTGGGCCCGGCGTGCTGCTCTGCCCTCCCACGTGGTGACCATGCTGGACAACTTCCCCACCAACCTGCACCCCATGTCCCAGCTGAGCGCGGCCGTCACCGCCCTCAACAGCGAGAGCAAGTTCGCCCGCGCCTACGCCGAGGGCATCCACCGCGCCAAGTACTGGGAGGTACGGGGGGCCCCGGCGCGGGCCGTGAGGGGCAGGTTCAGGGGCGGGGGGCCGGGGGGGAGGGCAGCTGCCCCCTCTGACCCCGCCGGCGCCAGTTTGTGTACGAGGACGCCATGGACCTGATCGCGAAGCTGCCGTGCGTCGCCGCCAAGATCTACCGTAACCTGTACCGGGAGGGCAGCGGCATCGGGGCCATCGACCCCAACCTCGACTGGTCCCACAACTTCACCAACATGCTGGGCTACACCGACCCCCAGTTCATCGAGCTGATGCGGCTCTACCTCACCATCCACAGGTAGGGAACCAGCAGTGGCACCTGGAGCGGGGGGGGACCTGGCCCTGCTCCCAGCCCCGGGGCCAGGGACGGGACCGGCTCCCAGGACATGCCTGGGCTGCTCCAGGGGCGGCGCTGGGAACACAGCGTGGGGCCACTGGGGTAGGGCTGTGCAAGGCTGGGAACACTGTGGCCCACCCAAAATTCCTTGGAGGGTATTTGGTGGGGCTGGAGGAGTCCTGATGCCCCCCTTGCCCTGCAGTGACCACGAGGGAGGGAACGTGAGTGCCCACACCAGTCACCTGGTCGGCAGCGCCTTGTCTGACCCCTACCTTGCCTTCGCCGCCGCCATGAACGGCCTGGCTGGGCCCCTGCACGGCCTCGCCAACCAGGTGGGCACCTCTCCCCGTGCCACTGTCCCCCTCGCTGTCCATCTGCCTGTGCCCCACTGGCCTCACTTGGGCCGTTCCTGCAGGAGGTGCTGCTCTGGCTGACCGACCTTCAGAAGGAGCTGGGCAAGGACGTGTCGGACGAGAAACTGCGTGAATTCATCTGGAACACGCTCAACTCAGGCAGGGTGAGCCAGGGGGCTGAGCCGAGGGTCTGGGGGCCGTGCTGGGGGTCCAGGGGCTGTGCTGCGGGGCAGCTGCTGAGCTCTGACTCCCGTCCTTGCAGGTGGTGCCGGGGTATGGACACGCAGTGCTGCGGAAGACGGACCCCCGCTACACCTGCCAGCGGGAATTCGCCCTCAAGCACCTGCCCAAGGACCCCCTGTTCAAGCTTGTGGCTCAGCTCTACAAGATCGTGCCCAACGTGCTGCTGGAGCAGGGCAAGGCCAAGAACCCCTGGCCCAACGTGGATGCCCACAGCGGGGTCCTACTGCAGGTGAGCCTGGGGGTCCTGGGAGTTGTGTGTGTGTGTCTCTGCTGTTTGTTCCTGTCCCTTTCAGTCTGTGTCTCTGCCTGTCTGTTTGTCCCATTCCTCCCCGTTCCCTGTCCTGAGCATATGGAAGGCTCTTGGTTCCCCCCTCTCTGGCCTGACTCCCCTCTCCCCCCACAGTACTACGGGATGAAGGAGATGAATTACTACACGGTGCTGTTTGGGGTGTCCCGAGCCCTGGGTGTCCTCTCTCAGCTCATCTGGAGCCGGGCACTGGGATTCCCCCTGGAGCGGCCCAAATCCATGAGCACCAAGGGCCTCATGCAGCTCGTGGGCTACAAATCCGGGTAAAGAAGGGACGGGGACAGGGCCGCGGCTCGAGCTCTCCAGGGAATGTCGCGCTGCCGGGCCCGGCCCGGACGCCCTCGGCACTGAACCCCCCCCGGGCACCAGTGGGGGCTCCTTGGGGTGAGCGGAGCCCCCCCGGCTGCTCCCCCTCCCCTGCCCCACCACCTGGCTCTCCCCACCCCCACGAGGTGAGGGGGGTCTCCTGTGCCCCCACCCCACCCCAGCAGCACTCACTGCGCACACTGGGAGCCCCCCGACTCCCCACACACTGGGAGCCCCCTGGCTCCCCCACTGCTGGGCTGGGGGTGGTCCCGGTGAGGCCATTGGGGGGGCACAGCCCCCTCCCTGCCCCACCACACCCCTTCCCCCGAGAGGGTTCAGTCCAGACTCGTGTCCAGGCCCCCCCACAGGGACTTGATACACTCCTCCCCGGCCGCGCCCCCGTGTTTGTGTGACCCCCCCCTCCTGTCTGAAGCCCCCGGGAGCCAGAGCTGGGACCCCCCCCAGCCCCCTCACAGCTCTCGGGCACTTCTGTACAAACAAGGACAAAATGCAAAATAAATGTTTTTATTAACAAACCCGGAACCTTCCCCCTCTCTCCCTCCCTCTGCAGGGCGTGGGGAGCGGGGTCAGGGGATGGTGCCCCCTCCCCACCTGGGGGTGCTCCAGGGTCAGTGGGGTGGCCCTTGTCCCCTCAGTGGGGGCAGCAGGAACTGGCCTGGTTTGGGTCTGGGGGGTCCCAGCTGCAGCCCCCGCTCCAGCTCCCCCCTCCCCTGTTGAATGAGGACCAGGAGGCTGCTCACCCTTGGAAAATGCTCTTTATTGGCCTGTAAAAGCCCTTCCTTGGGCAGCACGGCCAGGGCGGCCTCAGGGGGCTCAGAGAGCCCCTCACCCCCCCGGGTGGGCTCTGTGGTGGGGGGAGCCGGAGGCATCCCTGTCCTCCCACCGCAGGTGAGGAACGGTGAGCGGGGCCGGGGGGGCCGCGGTGGGGGCTATCCTGGGACCTTCCCAGTCCCAGTGGTGGGTGCTGGGGGTGGGGGTGGTGGGGGGTGGCAGCTCGAGCCGCCCCCTCCCCGCCCTGTGCGTGTGGCTTGTGCAAACTGTGCGACGTCGGGGGTCCCTCGGCCGTGAGCCGGGGGCTCAGGGGGCTCCTCCCTGCGCCGGCTCCTTCCCTTTTTTCCTGGGAGAGCTGGGAAGGAAATGGGGGGTCCTGGCGGCTCCGTGTGGGATCCGGCCGGGCCCCCCCACCCAGCAAACCCTTCCGGCCCAGGCACTGGGAGCTGTCCCCGCCGGGACCCTCCGGCCTGGCCGAGGAGTTAAAAGAACAAAAAAAAAAGGGTTAAAAAAAAAACCAAACCAAAAACAACGCCCAAGAACTAAAAACAAAACTTAACCCCCCCAAATCAGCTACAAGACCAGGGAGAGTCCAGCGCCAGGATGCAGCTCCCGGGGCCAGGGAGCTCACGGCAGCCCCCCCGGGGCCGGGGGGATGTTGAGGCAACGGCAGCAGAGACGCACTTGAATAAATATTTGGGGGGTGGGCACGGGGCAGGCCCAGCCCGGCACAGTCCGGGGGGGCCCGGCCCGGCCGCCCTCACGTCTGGTGGACCTCGTGGAACATGAGCTCCCGGGGAATGCGGGTCTCGGGCCCGAAGTTCTTGGCCGCGCGGCGCTCGAAGGCGGCCACCATCTGCTTGACCACCTCGTCGAAGAACACGGTGGCCAGCTGGGAGTGCAGCAGGGAGCGGAACTCGAAGGAGATCTGGGGAGGAGAGCAGGTGAGCCCCCGAGGAGCATCTGCCCCGCCCTCCCCTGGGGGGTCCCGGGTGGGGTCTCACCGAGAAGTCCACGGTGCTGGTGCGGGGGTAGCCGGGGATGCCGGGGCTGAAGCGCCAGTTGGTCTCCAGGTGGTTGAAGAGGCGCCCATCGGTGCAGACGGCCTGGGGAGGGGGAAGCACAGGCACTGGGATCGTGGAATCACTGAGAGTCCAAGCTGTGCCTGATCCCCACCCTGTCCCCCAGCCCAGAGCACTGAGTGCCATGTCCAGTCCTTCCCCGGACACCTCCAGGGGTGGGGACTCCACCACCTCCCTGGGCAGCCCCTGCCAAGGTCTGAGCACCCCTTCCACACAGAAATTCCTCCTCATGTCCAACCTGACCTTCCCCTGGCACAGCTTGAGGCCATTTCCTCTCCTCCTGTCCCTGTTCCCTGGGAGCAGAGCCCGACCCACCCCCGGCTCCCCGTTCCTGTCAGGGATTGCAGAGCCAGAAGGTCCCCCCTGAAACTCCTTTTCTCCAGGCTGAGCCCCCCCAGCTCCCTCAGCTCTCCAGCCCCTTCCCAGCTCCGTTCCCACCTCTGGACATGTTCCAGCCCCTCAGTGTCTCTCCTGTCGACTGGAGAGGCCTCAGCAGTGCAGAACTGGCACCCAAAGAACACGTCATGCCCTCACCTTGACCAGGTGTGGCCGGACCAGGGTGACGATGGACGTGTAGCGCTCCAGCACGGGCGGGAACCCCACCTCCAGCTGGGCCTTGACGTGCCCCGAGCGCCGCGACACCACCACCGACTTCTTGCACCAGGGCACGAAGTTCTTGTAGTCCTCCACGTTGGCCACCACGTCGTACATCTCCTGCATCGAGTACCTGGGGGGCACAAAGGGTGTCGGGGCCGGTGTGGGGGGCCGTGCCCGGCACCCCCCCCAGGATTCCCCCACATACCCGATGATGCGGCGCTCCGAGTACTCCTTGCGCTTGTTGGTGAGGCTCAGGAAGGTCCTGCTGGGCGGGCAACGTGGCTCCCAGGGCGGGGGGCCCGGCCTGGCCAGGCGGGAGAGCCGGAGGCCGCACAGGGCGGCGTGTCTGGGGGACAGGGGGTGCTGGGACGGGGCCAGGGGAGCGGCCCCAGCACTGCCGTGGTGCTGGGCCCCTTCCCAGCCCCCTTCCACACCTTCCCAGGCCCCTTCCCGGATGGGAATCACCCCCGGGGGGTTCAGTCCCAGCACTGATCCCGGACCAACTCTTAGCAGCAGGAGGAGGAGGAAGGCCAGGAAACTCGAGCTCAGGGACACCTAATCCCGGGCTTGGAGCAGGGACAACTGGCCAGTGCCCTCCCCAGTGCCCCCCCGGGACCTTCTCCTCCTCCTCTGGCCCGGTCTCATCCCTTCGGGGCCGTTCCGGGGGGGCAGCAAGGGGAGGCAGAGCCCGTGGGGAGAAGATGTCCCTTGTCCCCCGTCCCATCACTGCGGGGAGGGGGTTCCACCCCGGTGGTGTTCCCCGGTCGTGCTGCCCTGGGGGTCCCCGAGGAGGTCGGTCCCGGCCCCCCCCAGCTCTGCCGGTGCTGCCACACCGAGCCCCGGGCAGGGAGGCCCCGGCCCAGCGTGTCCCCACCCCGTGTCCCCACCCCGTGTCCCCACTCCGCTGTCCCCGCGCAGAGGTCACTGTCCCCCCCCGGGGGCCGCGGGGCTGTCCCCGCGCTGGCGGGACCGCGATGCCGCTCGGGACCCCCCGGGGTCAGCGGTACCGGCCCGGTGCCCGCCTCTCCCCGCCCAGGGGCCTCTGACGGGCACCGGGGGCGGCGGCGCCGTGGGACCCTCGGGACCCCCCGTGTCCCCACGGTGCCCGCGTGTGCCCCCCGCCCCGCGGGGCCCGGGAGTGCAGGCAAGCCCCCAAGAGACTCCGCACCACGATCGTTTCCCCCGGGCCCCGCCTCGGTTCCCCCGGGGCCGGTGTGACCTCCGGGCCCCGCCTGCCTCGCCGCCGCCGCTCACCTGCAGGGCGGGGCCGCCCCGGCCCGCAGGCGCTGCCGCGCCCCGAGCTGGAGGGCGCCGCGGAGCCGCCGGGCCGCCATGAGCGGGCCGGGACCGGGACCGGGACCGGGACCGGGCCGGGCCGGGGCCGCCGCCGTGACCTCTCACCCCGTGACGTCAGCGCGTCCCCATAGCGCCAGGTACGTCACGGGGCTACGCCTCCCGCGGTGCATCACCGGAGTTGTAGTCGCAGCCGCGCGAAGGGCGATGGGAGGTGTAGTCCCGGCTGGGACCCCCCATGCCCCGCGGGGCCTGTGGCCCGAAGGTCCCCCCGGCAGCCCCGGGTGGAGTGGACACAGCGGGTCCTGGCGGACCCCTGGCCCCGCCACGGACGTGTGTTCCCGGTGGGTCCGGAGAGGGACGGGGAGCCCCCGGTGCTGTGTCCCGGTAACGGTCCCGCTCCCAGCTGAGCGGAGGAGCCCCCAGAGCAGGAACTCACGGTGGCTGCGGGAAATGGGTGATCCAGCACAGCCCAGTATGGCCCAGCACTGCGAGGGACACCACCAGTCCCTGAACACAATTCCCAAGCAGGGAATGCTGTCCCTGCACCGCTTGGAGCTGGAGAGGAACCAGGAGCTGTGGCCGGGCCATTGTCACCTGTGCTGCCCCGGAGCAGCTGTGGGGTGGCAGTGGGGACATGGGGGTGGAGGAGTGGGTGAGGGGCTGTGAGCGAGCAGAGCTGCCCCATCCCCACCCTGTCCCTGTCCCCAATACAGAGCTGTCCCAGCAGTCCCGAGCTGGGCATGGGGGTCACAGTGGCTAAGAGAAGGGGTGATGCCAGCACCCGATGGATGCTCTGGGACCACCGACAGGCACCTGGGGATGGGGCCCGGCTGGACAGACCCCAGAGTGTGATGGAGGGGCCACAGGGGTGACCCCCGGGACCCTCTGCCATCAGCCTCCTGCTCAGGGGGCTGGGTCTGGACGGGGGGAGCTGCATTGGCCTGGAGGGAGCCACTGCCTGGGGACCCCCAGCACCCCCACCTGGGACAGGGTCCCCCCGGGCAGCCCCCGCGGAGCGGGACGGAGGTGGCACATGGGCGACCCCCGAGACCCTCACCCACCACCTCCCCCGGCACGAAGCTGCTGCCCCGGACCCCCCGGGCCCCTCGGCCCGCCCGCTGCCCCCGTTTCCCCCGGCGGTGGGCGGTCCATCCCCGCGGCCCGGCCCCGCCGCTCCCCCCGCCTCGCAGCCGCCGCGCCGGAGCCGCCGCGGCCGGACCCGATGCCGGGAGCTGGGCGCTGAGGGCGGCCCCGACATGGGGGTTCTCAGCATCACGGACCAGGTGCGCCCTCCCTCCCCTCCCGCCTCGCCCCGTCCCTCCCGCCGCGCTCGGGCCGCGCCGCCACCGCAGCCCGGGGATGCGCGGCCTAGTCCGGCTCCTCCACCGGGCCCGGCCCGGCCGCCGCCCCAAGGCCGCGGGTCCCGCTCCGCCGGTTCCCCCGGGCCGCCCCCGGCCCCGGCACGGCCGGGGGTCACGGCCCGTCCCGCTCCGCCCGCCGGGCCCAGCGCGGCCGGGACCCCCGGGACGGGACCCTCGGGAACGACCCCGCGGAGCCGCGAGGGACCCCCCGGCTCGGGGATGGGGGAAACCCGGGGATGGGACCCCCCGGCACCCCCGGGAGGGACCCGTGGCCTCGCTGCCGCCCCGCCGGGTTTCTGGGATGCTCCCGGGGTGCGGGATGTCCCCCGCCAGGTTTGGGGACACGCTGTGGGTGCGGAGCGGCCCCAGAGAGCTTTTGGGGGGCAGCTCTGGGTTGCGGGTTGTCCCCCTCGGGTTTTGGGTCGCCCCTTGGGGCGCTGGGTTGTCGCCCTGGGGTTTTGGGGACACCTGTGGGGTGCAGCGTGTCCTCGTCGGGTTTTGGAGAGGCTCCTGGCGTGAAGGGAATCCCCGGTGGCTTTTGGGACACCCTTGGGATGCACAGGGTCCCCATCACGGTTTTGGGGACGATCCTGGGGTCCCTGTTGAGTTTTAGGGACACCCCTAGGGTGCAGCACGTCCCCATCAGGTTTGGGGGTGTTCCTGGCTTGTGGGGAGTCTCCGGCAGCTTTTTGGGACGCTCTTGGGTGCAGGGTGTCCCCAGCATGGTTTTGGGGATGTGCAGGGTGTGCCCATAAGGCCTGGGGGATTCCTCTGAGATGCAGAGTGTCTCTGTCATGTTTTGGGGGCACCCCTAGCATACAGGGCATTCCCATCGGGTTTTGGGGGCACCCCTGGTGTGCAGAGTGTCCCTGTAGTGTTTTAGGGATGATTCTGGGGTTCGGGGCATCCCCATCAGTTTTGGGGACACATCTGAGGTGCAGAGTCACCCTCCCTGGCCGATGGCTGCTCCCTGGGCCGCTCTGCTGTGTCCCATTACCGGAGCCGTGACCCCGGAGTGACCTGGGCTCGGACCCCCCCTCTTCCCACTCTTTGGAAGCCTGGGGGGTGGGCTGGGGGTTAGGGCGCGAAGGAGGAGGGGGCTGACCCAAGGCCTGGGTTTCTGATTTAAACAGAACTTTATTTTTCGGGATAACCCAAACATTCCTCTCTCCCGAGGTGGGTGGGTGTGTCAGACCCAGCGCCGCCGCCGGAGACGCTGCTTTTCCAGCCTTTCCTTAATTTTTTTTTTTTTTGTAAAAAACCCCTTTTTTACTGTCTAACAAGTGATGCCGAGGCTGCTGCATTCCAGGGGGATGACGCAGGCGCTGCCCTGGCCCAGGATGTGTTCCCCGGGTTTGAGTGCCCTTGTTTTGGGATGAGGCAGGGATGGGAAGGGGTCACTTCCAAATGGAGCTCCGTGTCTGCCGGAGAGGCCGAGAAAAGTGGGGCTTGATGGTTTCCATGTTAAATCCACGCTTTGGGGGGTGGGCAGAGCTGGGGGGGCTGCCAGGGGTCACAGCACCCAGGACCCTCCAACCCAGAGGGGTTTCTGGATGTGCCCAAATTTTGGGTGGTAGGAGCTGGACCTGTTCCTGTGCTCGGGTGCTGCGTGTGGGGAGCTTGGCTGTGTGTGGTCAGCGCTGCTCCTTGGACTCCTTGGGAAGCAGGGAGGCTTTTCCAACGATTCCTTGCTCTGTTTATCAATTAACAACCAAGAAAAGTGTCTTTGCTGGCTGAAAAACTGGTCCCTGGTGCTGGCTGGGCCACTGGGGTGAGGAAGCTGCCGGGTGCTGCTGGCGGGCTGGGAATGGGACTCGCTCCTGGAGCTGGGTCAGGCTCTGGCACATGGAAACACTGCAGGTTCTCCTCCCTCTCACATCTCCTCTGTGGTGCCACCATCACGACTTGTTTCCCTTCTCCTTTGCAGCCTCCTCTGGTCCAAGCCATCTTCAACCGGGATGTGGAGGAGGTTCGGTCGCTGCTGAATCAGAAGGAGAACATCAATGTACTGGTGAGAGCCTCACCTGGTGCTCCCAAAATCCATCCCATCCCTCACCCAGCTCTCCCCAAATCCTTCCCATCCCCCACCTGTCACTCCTTGTTTCACAGAATCCCAGTCCTTGAGTTTGGAAAAGCCCCCCAGGACCACGGAGTCCCCCCTGTGCCCCATCCCCACCTTGTCCCCCGGCCCAGAGCACTGAGTGCCATGTCCAGTCCTCCCTTGGACACCTCCAGGGGTGGGGACTCCACCACCTCCCTGGGCAGCCCCTGCCAATGTCTGAGCACCCTTTCCATCAGGAATTTCCTCCTGATGTCCCATCTGCCCCTCCCCTGGCACAGGGATCTCCCAACCCTCTCCCTTGCCCTCCAAGCTCACGGATGGTTTTTGTTTCTCCCCCCAAGGACCAAGAACGCCGAACACCACTCCATGCTGCTGCCTACATAGGAGATGTTGCAATCCTCGAGCTCCTAATCCTGTCAGGTGAGGGCTGGGGCTGGGAGCAGGCTCGGATCTGGCACAGGCACTGCCTCGGAGACACCCCTGACCCCCCCTGGCCTCAGGGGTGCAGCAAGACGGGGTTTGGTCACTCTCCAACCGTGTGCTCACACTTAATGCAGCAGGGTTGCAGCCAGGGGAAGATTAGGGAACGTTGCCATAATCCTAAGAGGTTTGTTCAGGCGGAGAAGTGTCTTGGAACCGAAATAGCCGAGTTGGAAATGGAGCCAGGAGAGGGGAGTGTGGCACTGGAGGAGGTGCTGGAGGAGGGGGATGTGCAGCTTGGACAGCAGGGTACTCAGAGCAGCAGTTCCACTTGCCCCCAGAGAGAATAAGCCAAAATCCAGGGGATTTCTCTCAGTTTTGGGTTGTGTCTCTTGCCATGAAGCTGCTCTTCGCTTCCCTCTGGACACACTCAGTGTTTGGGTCCTGTGTGCTGAGCGTTGAGTCTCCTTCTCTGCTCCTCACCACGTGGAGCCATGGGACACTGTGGAGCAAGGGAACCTCGAGGCTGCCGTGATCCTGTGTGACCCCAGCAGGGAGAGACTCAGGCAAATTCTTTGCCAAGGGCTCGTTAAACAGGATCTGGGATGTTCAGCTCCATCTGCGGAGCTTGGGATGCCCTTACCTTCCCCGTGTGGACTTCTGCCTGCTTGTGTGTGGGGTTCTGGGCAGCAAAGAGAGGCAGAAGAGGGGCTCCAGGGGCGGTGGGCCCTCCCTGACCCCTCTTTTGTTGTCCCCCAGGTGCTAATGTGAACGCAAAGGACACGGTTTGGCTCACCCCGTTACACCGCGCTGCGGCCTCTCGGCACGAGGTGAGTGCCCTGGGAAGGGGGCTCTGGCTCTGTCTGCTCCCTGTAGGAGGAGTGGTTGTGCTTCTCCTCCTCCTTCCCCCCCTGCCTGGTTTGGGCTGAGATAGGGGGTCTCATCAGAGCAGAAGGGGGCCGAATGCAAAGTTCAGAGGCTGCAAATGGGAGCTGGGACAAAAACCTCCTTGGTTCCCTTCCCTCCATCCTGCAGGAGTCAACCCGTGGGTTTTCCCCACGTCCTCCTCCCTGCCTTCACCCCTTCCCCAGGGCTTTGTCTGTTCCAGCCTTACATTCCTTTGAGGGATGTCGGGGCTCTCCCCCTGTCTCTCAGGAGCTGATTCCAACAGATCCTGTTGGAAAGTTTTCCTGGTGTTTATCTTTTGTGGGTTTAACTTCATCCCACTTAACTTTGCCCTTGTTTGAGTTGTTGGAGCGCGAGGAACTGTTGGTTGGAGCCAGGAGATCCAAAGCCCCGAGTGACGGGCGGGGCAAGTTACCCCCCTTGGGATCCTGATCGGCAGGAGACACGGGATGGAACACGAGTGTAAACCTTTCCAGAAGGGGTTTGTTGGGAATGTGTGTGGACAGTCCCTGTGGGTTCCTAAAACACGGAGCTCGTGCTGCTTGTCTGGGAATTTGGGAATCTGGGCACACTCGTCGCTTCCCCGCCTGGGAAGTGCTGGAGCGTCTCCTCCCTTGTTCTGTTCCTCCCCAGGTGCTTGGCACAGGGCTCTGCCAGCGCTGGCATGCCCAGCTCCCGAGAGGAGCCTTCCCAAAAATGCTTTCCCTGCCTGGAGCCCGCTCTCCAGGGTTGCTGGGCTGGTGTTTCTTGGCTCCATGTGCCGTTCCAGCGCTGGGAGCAAAGAGCAGGGCAGTGATCCGTGGGGCTGGGATCGCTGCAGGAGCTGCCCCCATGCCGTGGGGAGGTGAAACCGAAAATGAGGGGCTGCAGCCAAGAGCCTGCTCAGCAACACGGGGAAATAAGTGTGACATGTAGGTCAGTGGGTCACGTCTGTCATCCCTGGGGCGCTTCGCCCCTGATGAGTCACAGGTGAACGTTCACCCCCCGTTAATCACGTGGCTCAGGGGTTTTCTGTGGTGTCCCTGTGAGCCACATTTCACAGCTGGGCTCAGGGGGAATGAGCCTGGCTTGTTCAGGTCCCACCTGGAACTCCACTTGCAAGCAGCTGGAGCAGCCCAAGTGAGGGCTGGAGGATTCACAGAATCCCAGAATCCTTGAGGTGGGATTTAGCTCTGCCTTCACCTCTGTGTGACAATGTGCTGAAACAGCCACATGTGGCTTCGGGATGTCCCTGAGAGCAAACAGATCCTTTCCTCTGAAGTGTGGGGAGAAGCCACCCCACCAGAGCACGTGGAGCAGTCACGGCTCAGCTGGCCCTGGCTCTGGGGCTGGTGTGGCTCTGGAAGGACGAGGAGGACCTGAGGGCCAACCAGGGCTCCGGGTTAGAGCCCCCCTCTCTCCTCTGCCCCCGCAGAAGGCACTTCACCTCCTCCTGAAGCACTCTGCGGACGTCAATGCCCGCGACAAGCACTGGCAGACGCCGCTGCACGTGGCCGCGGCCAACCGGGCCACCAAGTGCGTGGAGGCCCTGGTGCCCCTGCTCAGCACCGTCAACGTGGCCGACCGCACGGGCCGCACGGCGCTGCACCACGCCGTGCACAGCGGCCACCTCGAGGTAGGCGGGGGGTCCCTGCCCACGCCCCCCTCCCTGCGCCGGGGCAGGAAGGGCCCGGCCCCTCTCACCGCTCCTCCCCGTGCAGATGGTGAACCTGCTGCTGAACAAAGGGGCCAGCCCGAGCACTTGTGACAAGAAGGACCGGCAACCCATCCACTGGGCAGCTTTTCTGGGTAGGTGTGGCGGTTTCGCCCCGAGGCAGCCCCCAAACCCCTCAGAGCCCGCTCCCCGCCCCGGCGGGATCAGGGAGAGGATCGGAGGGGTGAAAGCTGGAAAATTCCCCCACGAGCATCACTCCGGTTTCATCTCCCCCATCGCTGCCTGCGGATTCACCTTTCAGGGTGGTGGGGCTCCCCAGAGAACCTGCGTTTTCTGGGAACCCTGGCTTTTACCACTGTCTCCTGGACAGGGCATTTGGAAGTTCTGAAGCTGCTGGTGGCCCGGGGAGCTGACGTGATGTGTAAGGACAAGAAGGGCTACACCCTCCTGCACACGGCGGCGGCCAGCGGCCAGATCGAGGTCGTGCGTCACCTCCTGAGGTTGGGGGTCGAGGTAAGACCCCCCCCAGCTGCTCAGGGTGCTGCTCAGGTGCAGGCCAGGCTGGAGACAGGAGCAGGAGAGGGTGCTGGGTGGTGGCAGGAGCTCGAGGTGGTTCCCAGCCGCCTTCTTCCTTCCCGAATCCCCAAATCCTCTGGGTCTCGGTTGCTCCCGCAGATCGATGAACCAAATTCCTTCGGTAACACTGCACTTCACATTGCCTGTTACATGGGCCAAGACGCCGTGGCCAACGAGCTGGTCAACGTCGGTGCCAACGTCAATCAGCCCAACGAGAAGGGCTTCACCCCCCTGCACTTCGCTGCCGTCTCCACCAACGGGGCCCTGTGCCTGGAGATCCTCGTCAACAACGGGGCCGACGTCAACTTTCAGGTCTGGAATCTGTGAGAGCGGGCAGCAGGAGCCCACTGCTCGAGGCAGGAGCCTGGGGAGGGTGGTGGGGTGGCCCTGGTGTGATGCTGGTTCTGTTCTCGCAGAGCAAGGAAGGGAAGAGCCCATTGCACATGGCTGCGATCCACGGACGGTTCACGCGGTCGCAGATCCTCATCCAGAACGGTGAGTGCTTGCTCCTCCAGGCCTGGGTTATCCCAGCCTTTTCTTGTGCCTCCAGGACCTCCTGTCAAGTTTGCTCAGGGGGTTTAAGACCTCTCCAGTCATCACTCTGTGCCCTTGGATAATATCCACTTCCTGACATTCAATCTAAACCTCCCCTGGCACAGCTTGAGGCTGTTCCCTCCTGTCCTGTCTCCTGTTACCTGGTTCCACCCTCCTGTCAGCGAGTTGTAGAGAACAAGAAGGTCCCTCCTGAGCCTCGTTTTCTCCAGGGGCTGTTGCTGGTGGCCCTGTGTTTCTTGGGGGTAACAGGGATTGTTGTGTCCAAAGGCAGCAAAGTGCAGACCAGGGGACTGAAATTCCAGCCAGGTCAGAGCTGGTGCAGCCAAACAACATTCCCAGTGCCACAGCCTGAAAGACAATATTCCTCTAAGAGGGCTCAGGCTTGGCAGACACCCCAGGGCTCAGCAGAGCCATCTGGGAGGGAAAACGTCCCCTCGGGGGGAAGGGGGGATCTGCTGCCCAGGGCTGGCAGGATGCAGGTGGGCTCTCAGCTCCCAGAGCAGCCTCCAGTTGTCCTGCAGGGTGCTGTGTGGACTCGAGGTGTCAGCCGTGTCCCTGAGATGGGAATGCAGTGTCGGAACAGCCCCTGCTGCTGGAGGCTGGAACGCTGGCAAAGCCCTTTGCTTTTCCCTTGCAGGCAGTGAGATTGACTGTGCTGACAAATACGGCAATACCCCCCTCCACGTTGCTGCTAGATACGGCCACGAGCTGCTAATTAGTACTTTGATGACGAATGGTGCTGACACTGCAAGGTAAGGCGGGTCCCTTCCTTCCTCCCCCTGCTCCAGGCTGGAGGATGCAGCCATAGAGTCACTGAACCACATCCCAAAGTGCCACATCCATATCCCTCTGGCGATGGTGACTCCCCCACTACCCTGAGCAGGCTGTGCCAGTGCCTTCACCTTTTCAGTGAAGAAATTTTCCCTCTTATCCAACCTAAAACACCCCTGGCACAACTTGAGACTGATTCCTCCAGGCTGAGCCCCCCCAGCTCCCTCAGTTCTCCAACCCCTTCTCCTTGTTCTCCAGTCCCTTTCCCAGCTCCACTCCCTTCTCTGGGCACACAGAATCCACGACCCACCCTGACTCCCTCCTCCTGTCCTTGCAGGCGTGGGATCCACGACATGTTCCCTCTGCACTTAGCTGTTCTCTTCGGATTTTCAGACTGTTGTCGTAAGCTACTTTCCTCAGGTGAGTGGCCCAAACCCCTCCTGTGCCGGGGCAATGGGGTGACCCCCGAGCTCCCCGCTGACCCCCTGCCCCTCCTGCCCCCCCAGGTCAGTTGTACAGCATCGTGTCCTCGCTGAGCAACGAGCACGTGCTGTCCGCAGGCTTCGACATCAACACGCCTGACAACCTCGGGAGGACTTGTCTCCACGCTGCTGCTTCCGGGGGGTGAGCGGGGCTGGGGGTTTGGGGGTTTGGGGCATGAGGGGGAGTTGGACCCCTGGGTGCTGCTCCCAGCTCTGAGGGAGGGCAGAGACGTGTTCAGAGCAGGAATGGAAATGGAAACCTGGAGCTTTTTTGTAGCGTAAATCCGCTCTGTCAGCTGCACTGATGCCATGGCTGATGTCTCTCTCTAATTACCTGGTTGGCTGGGAGCTCCATGGCGGGCAGGAAGTACAGAGGGTTATTTACTGGAGCAGGGAAGAGCTTTGTGTGTGCAGCATCAGCCGTGGCTGCGGCTCCTGAGCTGCCCAGAGGTGACAAACCCGACTGAGCTGTGACATGTCCAGGCTGTCTTGTCTGCACTGGGAGGAGTTTGCATTCCTGTTGTTTTCCCTTCTGATCTGTGCCTAACTCCTCTCCCTCCCTCCTGCAGGAACGTTGAATGTCTTAATTTGCTGTTGAGCAGCGGTGCTGACTTGAGGAGGAGAGATAAATTCGGGAGGTGAGTGTCCTGTGAGTTCTGAAACAGCTGGAGCACGGCGAGCCTGGATTTGGGATGGGGCATTCACAGAATCCCAGAATCCTTGAGGTTGGAAAAGCCCTACAAGACCATCGAGTCCAACCTGTGCCCGACACCCACCTTGTCCCCCAGCCCAGGGCACTGAGTGCCACATCCAGATGTTCCTTGGACACCTCCAGGGGTGGGGACTCCACCACCTCCCTGGGCAGCCCCTTCCAGTGTTTAACAACCCCTTCCATGGAGAGATTCCTTTTGATGTCCTCAGGCCTTTGCTGTGTCTGGATCTCCCCTCTAACCCCAGGGGCTCATCTCTGGCTCCTCAGAAGGAGCTGCAGCTCCAAACCCTTGAGCCAGAGCCGGACAAAGCTCAGCACTGGAGTGGGTGGGGGGGTGGCTCCCCAGGTCCTGCCTTGCTGCTGGGTGAGTTTCTCCACCTGTGGTGATCTCCCTTGTCCCTTCCCCCTTTCCCAGGACTCCACTGCACTACGCAGCTGCCAACGGCAGCTACCAGTGTACGGTGACACTGGTGACGGCGGGAGCCAGTATTAACGAGGCCGACTGCAAAGGCTGCACCGCCTTACACTACGCTGCTGCCTCGGACACGTACAGGAGGTGACTGTTTGGGGGCTGGGGGGTGGCACTGGGTGCACTGGTGCTGGGTGGTGACACTCTGCTGTCCCCTGGCTGCCTCCTGCCACTGGTGCTCGGTGGGTCACGGAAAGGGGGAGGACAGGGGGGGGTAACCAACAATCTGATGGGGGTCTGTGGCCTTCCAGAGCAGAGACTCATTCAGGAAACAGCCATGACACTGATGAGGAGCCACTGAAGGAGTCCAGGCTGAAGGAGGCATTCTTGTGAGTCCATAATTGTGTAACTTCTGAAGCGTTTCTAAACTTTTAACAGCCACGCCTTCTTGCAGGAAGTAGTCGTGCAGCTAATGATGTATTGCATGACGAGGCACTACTTCTTTCTCCTCTTGAATTTGCTCCCCTAGTTCTTTTATTTAAAGAGAAGACGTAAGAACGGTGTTGGGTCAGTCTGGCCCCGTGTTCTGTTTTCCACAGCAGCCAGAGGTAGATGCTCAGCAGAGAGTATAAGGAGATGAATACATGGAATATATTACCTGACTGTCTTCCATCTCTTACCATGTCTTATTTTACTCTTGGACATGGTGATTTGGTGTTTGCCCATTCCCATTTTGCTGGGAGTCCCTTTCTCTGGAGGTCCTCCTCCTTGGAGAGAGGAAACATCTGCTGATGTGATTCCCAAGGCAAACCCAGTCCTCGCCTGCAGTGGGCTTTGCATGCGCTCTGTGTCCAGGCAGGATTCGTACAGCACCTGCTCTGAGATAAATCAGGGTGCTCCCCACAGAGCTCTGCCTCTCCAATCACTCCTTGTCCTTCATCTCCCCTCTCCTGCTCGTTGCAGTTGTTTGGAGTTCCTGCTGGATAACGGTGCCGACCCCTCCCTGCGGGACAAGCAGGGATACACCGCTGTCCACTACGCGGCTGCGTACGGCAACAGGCAGAACCTCGAGCTGGTGAGTGGCTGGGGGGGGCCCTCTGTGCTCCCAGCAACAGGGGCAGACGTGTCAAAGAATGTGTCACACCCGTGGTGTCCAGGTGTGGCTCAAGGAACGTGTGTTGTGGGCACCACCGGGTTTGTCCGAGAGGTGGAGTTGGTCATGGGGACTTGGGGAGCTGTTGGAATGAGACCTGGGCTGGAGGGAGATGCCCGAGAGGAGGGAGCTGTGTTACCTGGCAGAGGCAGATGTGTGGATTTCTTGGAGCTGTGTGGGCAGAGGAAATCGGGAAATCTTGGACTAGCAGGGACTTGCTGCTGCCTATGCAGCACTCAGAGCCAGTTAGGGAATGTCCCGTCCTGAAATTCAAGCAGATGAGCAGGATTTCTGACCCCTCTGCAGCTGCTGGTGGACAGGGTGCATGTCAAAGCCCCCAGGAGCAGTTATGGATCAGTTATGAGTTTGTGTTGTTGCTCTTGCAGCTCCTGGAAATGTCTTTTAACTGCCTGGAGGATGTGGAAAGCACCATTCCAGTCAGCCCTTTGCACTTAGCTGTAAGTATGGCTGGGGAGGCTCCTGCTGTGTCCTGGAGAGGTGCCCAGGGTGGCTGGAGGAGGGAAGGTGCCAGTGGTGGGGGAGCAGCTTCTCCACAGGTCAAAGGCCTTTAATTTGTCTGTTAAAGTCTTTGATCTTTCCAGGACTTTCTGGGTGCTGCTGTTTGGAGTGTGGGCAGGGGTGGGAGTGGGTGAGGGTTTTGAGTGGGACCCAAATGTTGAGGAGGTCCAGTGGCCGGGCAGGAGCAGCTCTGCCCTGAGGGGCTCAGGGGCAGGAATTACCCCTGGGGGAGACAGCTCTGGGTGCCTGGGGGGCACTCCTGGGCACAGCCTCTGCAGACACTGCTCCAACACGGTCTGCCTTGTCCCAGGCCTATAATGGTCACTGTGAAGCCCTAAAGACACTTGCTGAGACCCTGGTGAACCTGGACGTGCGGGACCACAAGGGCCGGACAGCGCTGTACCTCGCCACGGAGCGGGGCTCCACGGACTGCGTGGAGGTGCTCACCAGCCACGGCGCGTCCGCGCTGGTCAAGGAGAGGAAGAGGAAGTGGACCCCTCTCCACGCTGCAGGTGATGGAGGGAGGGCAGATGGGGCAGGGAGCGTGACCAGGGCCGCTCGGTGCCATCGCGGCTGAGGATGCCCCTTCACCTGGCTGCTGTTTGGGATGAGGGAAGGGGCACCAGCCCCTTCCTTCGGTTTTGGGGGCCCACCCGTGTGTGTGTGTGACTCCTTTCCTCGTCCCTGTCTCCAGCTGCCAACGGGAACACGGATTCCCTGCACCTCCTGATAGACAGCGGGGAGCGGGCGGACATCACCGACGTCATGGACATGCACGGCCAGTGAGTCTGTCCGGGTGTTTCTTTGGGATCTGTGTGGCACAGGGTCAGGCCCTGCAGGTGGCTGAGGCAAGGGAGAGAGGGAATACTCAGACCTGGCTGATTTCCAAGCCCACCCTCCCCCCTGCTACCTTTCCCCCCTCCAGAACCCCACTGATGCTGGCGATCATGAACGGCCACGTTGACTGTGTCCATCTGCTGCTGGAGAAGGGATCCACGGCTGACGCAGCGGACAAGAGGGGAAGGACTGCCCTGCACCGAGGGGTGAGTGTGTCCCTGGGGGCCCTGGAGCTGCTGCTTGGCCCCCTGTGTGGAGGCTGCTGGGAGGCCAGGCCGGTGTTTCTGTGTTTGCAAGAGCCCTCAGGGAAAGTGCCCGTGTTCCTTCGGACACACAGCATTTGAGAAGGAAACTGTGGCAGAAAGGTGTTCGTGTGTTGTTAAATGATTCCAAGGGTGGGGTCTGACCCTCTGGTCCTCTCTCCCGGCCACAGGCTGTGACAGGCTGTGAGGATTGCCTGGCTGCTCTGCTGGACCACGATGCCTTCGTCCTGTGTCGGGATTTCAAGGGCCGGACCCCGATCCACTTCGCCTCAGCGTGTGGGCACCTGGAAATCCTGCGGACCCTGCTGCAGGCAGCCCTCTCCACTGACCCCCTGGACTCCGTGGTGGACTACAGCGGCTACTCACCGATGCACTGGGCTTCTTACAGTGGTGAGGAGGGGCTGGGCCCTGCTTGCCCCCAGAGGGGAAGGGCCTCAGCAGAGCAAAAGAGCTGCCCAAAGAACCAGAGGCTCAGACAAGGTGCCCAAACACTCCCAGTTCTGGGCCCCTCACAGCAAGAGAGACATTAAGGGGCTGGAGCATGTCCAGAGCTGGGAATGAAGCTGGGGAAAGGGCTGGAGAACAAGGAGGAGGGTCCAGGAAGGACCCACAGGCCGAGTGCTGACTCATTTCTGTCCCTCTGTCCTCAGGGCACGAAGATTGTCTTGAATTGTTACTTGAACACAACCCGTTTGCGTACCTAGAAGGAAACCCCTTTACTCCATTGCACTGTGCAGTGTAAGTGACACCTGGGACCTGCCCCAGGTCCTTCCCCACCCTGTGATGTGGGACTGGGGATTTGTAGTGCAAGTGGAGGAGCTCCAAACCCTGCCCTCCTTGCCCTCCTGTCCTGGGCAGCAGCAGCTGGGGAGGGGAGAGGAAGGGGGAGAATGGGGTGGGCCTGGGGTATCCTTGGGACCTGGAGCAGCAAAGGGATGGGCAGGGCTATTGTCTGACATGTTTCTGTGTTTTAAGGTGTTTTACCCCAAACAATTCCAGAGCAGCTGCTGTTTGTGTCAGAGCCCCTGGAATGTGCTGCTCAGTTCCTGTTCTAACTTCCCTTCTCGTCCCCCCTCAGAATTAACAACCAGGATGGCACTGCTGAAATGCTGGTGGAAGCATTAGGTGCCAAGATTGTTAATAGCAGAGATGCCAAAGGAAGGTGAGCCCACACTCCTCCCCATCCCCCATCACCCTCTTCCCGGTGCCGCTGTGCCCCCCTTGGTGACTTCCACATGATTTCCCCGGCTCCAAGGGGCTCTACCATCCCCAAACACCCCGGGGTGGGTGCTGTGCCCTCCTTTTGACCTGCTCTTTGTGTTCCCAGGACACCCCTTCACGCTGCTGCCTTTGCAGACAACATCCATGGTTTACAGCTGCTGCTGCGGCACCAGGCCGAGGTGGACACGGCGGACAAGCTGGGCAGGACCCCCCTCATGGTGGCTTCTGAGAACGGGCACACGGCAGCAGTGGGTGCGTGCTGGGTCCCCCAGGATGGGGGCTGAGCAGATCCCGTGGGAGCAGGGCTGTCCCTCTCCTCACAGGCACGCTGGGGCATTGCTGGGCTCTGTGTGGCCTCCTCTCACCAGCACCCCTCCTCCCTTTCAGAGTTCCTGCTGTACCAAGCAAAAGCAAATATAACTGTGCTGGATGTCAACAAGAACACAGCTCTTCACCTGGCCTGCAGCAAGGTAGGGAGGTGGCTGGGATTACTGTCACCGTGTCACCATCATGAGAAGGGTTGTCCCACAGAGCAGAGCTGAGGGTCCTGGGCCTGCCCTGACACACCTGGGTCAGTTTTGAGCAGCTCAGGTAACACAGGCCCATCTGTGTTTTCCTTGGGGAGCCCCTCTCTGAGTTTCCAGGATCACTTCCATCCCTGGCAGTGTTCCAGGCCAGCTTGGATGGGGCTCTGAGCAACCTGGGCTAGTGGAAGGTGTCCTTGCCCATGGCAGGGGGTGGAATGAGTTGATCTTTGAGGTGCCTTCCAAGCCAACCCATTCCATGATTCCACGGTGGGAGCAGGAGGCTCGTGGCCAGCATGTCCACACTGAGGAGGAGGTGGAGGGAACAGCAGCTTGTGCCCTCCAGCCCTGCCCAAGGGACCTGTGGTGGAGGGTTGGGTTTAGGAAACATTTCCGTATCCCAAGGAATCCCGCACTAACCCCTCCGCTCTCCTTCCCAGGGCCATGAAAAGTGTGCCTTGTTGATCCTGGGGGAAACCCAAGACCTTGGCCTTATCAATGCAAGTAACAGTGCTCTGCAGATGTGAGTATTTGCACAGCTGGTGCCCGTGGGACGGCCGGGGCTTTGCTGGGAGCGGGGGGAACACCTTGGGAAAGGTGGAGGGAGCTCAGCTCCTGCTCTGGGAGCAGGGGAGCTCAGAGCAAAGTGCCTGCCCTTGAAGCCACTCCCAGGGCTGTGTTTTGGCCCAAGGTGCTCCGGGCAGGTGTCTCTGCCGGCAGGTTCATCCCACTTTTCCCTCTTCCAGGCCGCTCCACATCGCGGCGCGGAACGGACTGGCCTCCGTCGTGCAGGCCCTGCTCAGCCGCGGGGCCACCGTGCTGGCTGTGGATGAAGAAGGTGCGTGTCCTCGGGGGCCCCAGGGGGGCTCAGCGTGCCTGGGAGGTGGGGGATGCCCAGGAACTGCTCAGCCAGGATCAGGATTCCCACGTGCCCTTCCTGTGGCTCAGCAGCTCGTGGCATGGCAGACGCGGCCTGGCGAGGACGGGAGCGCCCGCCATTCCCTGTGAAAGCATTTCCAGGTCTCACAGGTGTTTGGAATGTGGTTTTTTCCTCCCTGTGCACCATCTGGTGCTCCCTGGCTCCTGCCAGGCCCCAGCCCCGCCGTGACTCACTTCCACCTTGGCAGAAGCTGCTGGTTGTGGCCAGAAGCTTTTTCTCCTGGCAGAGCGGGAATCCCTCCAAGCTGTGGTGAATATCCCAGTGTGTGCCAGGTGCTCCCAAGCCTGTTTGTTCATCTCCTGCTGGTCCTGCCACACTTCAGAGTAGTTCCTGCAATCACAGGGTTTGACAGTGCCCAGAGGGTTCTGTTGAGATGTTGAATAATTGAGATATTGGTAAAGGCAAAGAGATCAAGTTGTGGTTGCTCCATCCCTGGAAGTGTCCCAAACCAGGTTGGATGGGACTTGGAGCAACGTGGTCTAGTGCAAGGTGTCCCTGCCTGTGGCAGGGGGTTTGGAACTGGGTGATGTTTGAGGTCCCTTCCACCCCAAACCATTCCATGATTCAACGTCCTGGACCCCGACTGCAGCGTTCCCGGGCCCCTCCCTCACCCCTTCTGTATTCCAGGTCATACCCCAGCCTTGGCATGCGCTCCCAACAAGGACGTTGCCGACTGCCTGGCACTTATCCTCTCCACCATGAAGCCTTTCCCACCTAAGGACGCCATCAGCTCTTTCAGCTTCAACCTCCTCAAGAACTGCGGCATCGCGGCCAAGACGGCGGCGTGCGGGGCCCTCCCCAACGGCAGCTCCTGCCCCTACACCAAGGACCGGCACAACGCCATCGGCCTGGACGGCTGTTACTCGGAGTAGCTTAAACTATGGGTGACCTAATATCTTATTATATTTATTTAGAAATTCTATAAATATAGGGCACTTTAAAGGAGAACAAGACTGGGCAGGCCAAGCGCGGCCCCGGTGGGCCAAGAGTTCGGCGCTTTCCCCCTCTCGCCGGGGGCCGGTGCGGTGCCAAAGCTGTTCCTGGCAGTGCCCTTCCCGTCCCCTGCCCCTTCCCAATCCTCTCTGTCCCCTCGGTGGCCGGGCAGGAGGCGGAAGAGGCAGGATTTGGGCTGGGACAAGGCAGGTGCCACCATCCACCGCTGGTTTCCCCCCAGCCT